CTTTATTTCTCATTTCTATTATTTTTGTTTTTTTTATTATACTTTTTATCAAATTTTATCAAATAATTAAAGATCAGTTCACAAGAGATACCCCAACTTATAAAAAAATTTTGTAACAAATCATTGAAATTCTCATGCCACTCAATTTTATCCAATCAACTTTTTAACTGTAAGAAATTATTTTTTACTTTTTCAATGACACATTAAGAAGTACTACTATAGACAATTTATTTTATGCTTCATAAAAACAATCCGTTTGAGACAATGAACTCTTGTTTAAATGACAATTCTTGACACTGCAAGTACCTAAGCTATACATGTACGGTTTGGTGATGTAAATAATAGCCGATAATTTAATAAATCGACGATTGTAGATCTTTCTTCGGCTAGTCAACGGGTCGAGTGCAATCCTGAACAGACCGTCCTGTTAGTGGTACCTAATAAACGCTTCGAAACGATACGATTCGTTTTAAATTAAAATAAAACGTTTATATGGTGTACCGCTTTACGCGCGTACTACACATGCCACTTATTTGCGCTCGATACTATTTTTTTAATCGGCTCTCGAATGCAAGACTTGTAGCTCGCGTCACTCATACTATTTGTTCACTGTTTATTCTACGTAAATTAATCGATATTTTTTTTTTCACGAATCAGGAAAATTGTCACCTTGCATCAATTCGTCAAAAAGGAATTTCCAGGTGTAGCACAACCTGTCGATCGTTGAAAAGTGACCTTGTTGAAGAAATACTGTAATTGCAATTATTTATTTTAAATAGGACTCGTTTACATTTTCTAAATAAAGTTTGTTCAAGTTAAATTAAGAAGTCTTATGAAAAATTTTCCAAGTGATGTTGGATTATTTATACTCCAATGATAATGGAACAAAATTAAAAGCAATGGCAATGAAAAAATAAGCCCTGCAATTACAAAAAGATTAATTTCAATAATGGTTTATAAAAGTTTATGTTTTTTTTAGTGTGTGATGCTGTTAAAACGAAGTACTATAAATATGTATAGGGTATAAATAAAAACAGTGAACTTGTCTATCTAGACTTATAAATAAAAATGGCGAAATCAACTTGAAAAAAGTCATATATGGAAGAAAAAAGAAAAAGGAATATATTTTTAAAAAAAGGATACCTCCATTGTTTATACTTTGCGGTTAAAAAAAAATTAAATTTGTTTGATGATTTTTTTAATAAAGTGTGTATGAGGATTTGTCATCAAAAGAAAGAAAAGAATGAAAGAAAATTATGTTACTTGTTTTTTCATTGTTACTTATATTTATTGAAACATCAGAAAAGTTCCTTAATAAAAAACGCCTAAAATTTACTTTTGCGTCTACTTAATAAAAAGTACTTAAAAAATTCGGGAAAATAGTATCGATCATTGATTTTACTTTCGATAACGTAGAGCTTTTTTTTTATTTATAATACAGATCAAGAATTTAAAAAAAACTCGCGCTCAAAATTTAACAAATATGTCAAATTTGTTGGCAATCATTCACTACAAGTACATTCAATAACTTACAAAAAAAAATCTTAATTTACTGATTTCTCTTTTAAAAATCTTGTGTTTAGTTCATGTTGTATTTCTCACATGCCTACAAAAATAATGAACTTGTCCATCATTTTTCATTTACATCTTAACAAAAGAAAGAGTCACTACGTTTTGAATATCTTTGATGTTAGAGGTTTCATTATTGGTTGTCGATTTGGACAGCAGAATTCACATAGATAGTTTTTCTTGTCAATTGACATGTTCATTCCTTTGGTTTCCACGCAATCTAAAAAAAAAAAAAACGTTCACTTCCAACTATTTAACAATCTTTAGCTCATGCTACAAATTATAAACCAAACTTGCACAATTAAATTACTAATTTCTTCAGTTTTTCTTTTTAAATCTTTTAAAAAGTAAAAATTATGATTTATTATTTAAAAAAACCATTATTTGCTTCTGAAACAAAAGAATCATGCTTCATGTGAAAACTAGATTACTAATGTTTCCAATGACATAAGTTCATTATTGAGCAGAAACTTAAATGAATTTTACTTAATAAATTAATTGTTCGTACAATAAAAAAAATGAAGCAATAGCAATAAGCGAGTAGAAATGCAAATTAAGAAGAGTTGTGAATGAGAATAATGCTAATTTACCCAAGTGTAAGTATTTGTCACATGCTCCGCAATGCACAAGATTCGGTTCCAGGTCGAGACGTGGGGCGTTATGACAGCGACTGCAGTGCGGACAATAGCGACCTTTTCGCCACAGCCTTGTTATGTGAGGTGAAAATGAGTTAAGGGTTAGCGATAAAAAGATTTCACCATATTGTTTCAATTTTTTTTTTTTTTTTTTTTTTTTTCAATTTCATTTTGTTTTGCCGAATAAAATTGACTAGTAATAAGTGGGTATATGACCTTGGCATATATATACAGTTTTTGAATCAATATGGTTTATTCACATAATAGAAATAAGCATTTAATGTAAAAAATATCTCAACACCACCTAAAAAAAGCTCTCAATAATCAAAACGTACATAAATAATTTATAAAATAAAGCATAATGAAGAATTAAAAAGCAAGAATAATTGCTTATGAGTAAACCAATCACCATTTGAACGTACATAACATAAATATACTAGTGAAACTAATCATTAAAAGACGAATGCTTGATTTCAATTGAAAAACACAACGACATTGTTTGCACAAAAAAATTAAATTAATGAGCCTTAAGGCGCAACTCTAACAAGTTCCTCATGAAAAGCTCGATAAAAAAAAAAAAAATTAACATCAACACAGTGAAGTACTGGTTCTCTAGAGGAAGAAACTACTATACATAACATTGAAGCGAAGATACAGACGCGACGCCTCGTTTTTCACTATCTCAACACTAGTCCACTAGTCGAAAGCAAAATAATTACAGAACTGTTTTATTTGGATGGTATTAAAGAAGAATAAAAGTAGCGATTTTTGGTTTCTAATTTACACAACTTCAAGTTTTATAAAGTAGTTTCCCCCTGCCTCAATGATCTGCTCTCTACTTGAAACCTCTTAACTAATAAGTAAAATTTGTAACCACATTTGGATATATGTACATATTTTGCAAATTCATATTCTACAGCTCTTGCATTTGTATGTCAATTTACGCAATCTGTATTTGTATGTCAAGGCTTAATAATCCGTTCAGTTAAAAAAAATGATAAAAAATTGATAAGTTACATTTTTATTACTCAAATAAAAAAAATAAAAAATTTGATTTTTTTAACATAATAATACACACAGTTACATTAAACATTATCCCAAGTGTTATTTGACAAAAGTGCGATTATTTTTACAATTGCAATTAAAAACGAAAATACAAAAAAATATCAAGTTTGAAAAACATCAAAGTTTTTTATTTCATTTTTTGATTATTCAGTTAATCTTACATGATGCAAAAAATCTTTGTCAGATTAAAATTTACACCACAGTTAACATAAAATCAAGTAAAAAATAAAAACAAACAAGAATGATACGCATGTTAAATGCGACTTACTTTGAACAGGGCACGCAGAAAGTTGAAACATACACCCTTGTATTCTTATCAGCCTTTTTGAATTCGTGTTGCCACTGAGCAACGCTATTCCTATCTGAATTGGCACCGCCGGGCTCTTTCGATCCACAATTTGCGCATACTGCACACTCTTGACAGTGCCAGCGACCCTGTGGTACTCTCCTCAAGCCCACGCAATATATGTGATACCTGAAAATTGCATTTTTTTATAAAAGAAAAAAAAACTCCTTTACTAAAAGCTATCCAAGTAGTTTGTAAAATAAAAATTACCCTCGATCACACATATCACAAAAGAGCATCTTGTCTTCGTCTGCGGGATCATGACATTGAGCGCAAGTTTTACAGTCTGTGCATTGCCAAGCGTAGGCTCGAATGTGCGGTACCATATCGAGAGTTAAATCCATACATGATGGATGAACTTGAAAAAAAATTCATAAAAATAGATTTACGTAAATCTGAGTTTTAACTTTTCGGAAGTACTTCATTGAACAGTAAACTTACCATTCCCGCTGCAAGTACCGCACTGTATAAGCACCTCGGGCCGATTGTTTTTGTTCAAACTATTTGAGCATATTTTGCACTTGACATCCGACTGGATGGCCAGTTCCATGTCAACCTCGTCCATCGCTGACTGCGAGCCTTCGGTATCTTGTGTGCCTTCGCTTGACGACGAACTAAGTAAAAAAAAGAAAACACTTTCTACAGAACTTTTAGTGATAATAGTCACCAAGCTGATGATCATAAGTTTTAATCCTGGTGATCTGAAGCCTCGAAATAGAAAATAAAATAAAAAATCCACCTTTGGACACTCACCTGGAATCGTCAGAAGATGAGTCGCTATCACTGTCGCTTTGAGAGCCTTCAGATTGGCTGTCGAATTTCCTTTCGTTCGGCCGCATCGGGCCATAGAGTACGGTGTTGAGTGGATAGTACCTTAAAAACGACAAAATTTAGCACCAGCCCAGGTAAAGTGATACAACAATACTTGAACGAATAGCAAATTAGCACACCTGAGCTCAGCAGGCGTGTAATCCCTGTAGAATTCGGCGTACTGTCCAGGCATGAGGGCTACGGGATAATTGTTGCTATTGCGCCGGTTGGGATCTAGTTTACGTTGGCTGCTACGCTTGAGGGGCACGTGCACGGTATAGGTCTGCAGATCGAGGCTGCACTTGCGGTCGTCACGGCGCGCTTTGTTCAGACCAGCGTTCCAGGTGAGGGCCGACTGCATGGCCATCTCCGCGAGGTCGATCCTGCTGCGCTCGGCATTAGCCGCCGCGGACAGCTCCTTTTGCTTCTTCGAGTGCTCCTTGGCTGCTTTTTCGCGCATGTGCTTGCGGTACTCCTCGTACTGTTCTGGAAAATCGCTGCACATTATGTCCAGCACCTCCGAGCTCGACACTGCCGTCAGACCTGTACGGAACATTGGTTTTTAGAATCTTATCTACACTGTGTATTGAGTAACTTTTTTTTTTGTTCTGTTTTTGTATACACATGTTTTTTTGTCTAGATCACTGTTATGCTTGCTTTTGTTCGAAGATAGTTACGATGAGTAACATGGCACGCGAGTTGTGCTCCAACTTTTATCTTTTGTTTGAATAAGTTGATAACATTCCCCTGATGATATTTATATTTACATCGTGGTGCTTCAGATTGAGCGAGTTTATTACTGCAAGCATTTAAACGACTTCTACTGCAATTACAATATTTTTCTGAGCAACAATGGGCTAATATATTATCAGAGATTGATTTGTAATTTTTTTTTTTTTTAAGTAATTATCCATGACACGAAACTTAATTTTAAAAATATGTTAAATAAAATCATTTATGAAAACTAGATATTACAAAACATTACGAAATAAAAGAGTCAGTAACAATTAAAGCATTCGAAGAAATTACGTGTAAATTGAAAGTAATGCTGGTCTGAAGTAAACAAGTCATCAAATAAATGAAATACTATTTGACGCAGGTTTTTAAGAAAAAAAAAAAAAAANAAAAAAAAAAAAAAAAAAAAAAAAAAAAAAAAAAAAAAAAAAAAAAAAAACTCACCCATATCGCACATGGATTCGCTAACAAGACCGTTCTCCCGAAGAAAATTTCTCTCCTCCATGTCAACCATGCGCCTTTTAAGATCCGGATACTTCCTCTTGAAGCTCTTGACTCCAAGGTATTGGGATATCTGCTCCTGAATCATGAAGGTCTCACCCCTAACGAGCGACCGGTCTTCCTTACGTTCGAGCGGCCACTCGTACTCCGCGATCTTCTCAACCGTGAACGGCCCCTCGTCCGGATCGAAGTTTATCTCCATGCGTCGAATCTTCACCTTCACCTTCTCGGACTCGGTCGTCGCGGTGCTCAGTACGCTGCCTTGCGACTCCTCGTTCGCCGCCAAAACCTCCGGCCCACCTGCGCCCCCATCCATTATTGTTTCAACAAGTAATGTTGGATTCGACTATTGATTTCATTAAAAATTGACGATGTTTGCGTCGCGCTTTCGAAGCAGGCTATTTACATTTCGGTGTTTCGTTTGGTGTCTCGTCTAATACCAGGTGGCAATCGTTCGCGGGGCATCGAAGGAATAAGTTCTATTTTTAGGCCCCGCTATTGGAGCTTTACCAATATGCGCGTGTGTTTTTACGCTTTAACGGTGGCTACGACTTTTTGCTTTTTACGAAGAAAAAAAAAACAATTATGAATTGGAGCAGCCCTTAATAATTACCGAAGCTATTTTCGTTTAAACATTTAAGATTAAATAAATTTTTGTTTCTACCTATTATTTCGTCGATAGATAAAGCAATAAAGACCACCAAATAATTAAACGGATGCAAGAAGAAACATCCATGTGGTTGTTAAAATTAAGGAAATCGGTTGCGGGTTTACCTGGTATCGGTACGCCGCGCGCCGGCGTCTGTGATCTGGAGCAGGACTCCGCGCTCATCCTTGTCTCTTCGTCCATGACGGTCAACGTGGAAATGGCCTCGCTTTTCATGGCTACAGCTCCCACGGCTGACGACGATGAATCGGACGACACCTTTTTAATAGACGGAGCAAGCCAGAGTTGGTGTTCCTGAGTTGCCATCGGATCTTTGACGATTCCACTTATCTCTGGCGGCTTATCAACCTCACTGGTCACCTTAATCACGATATTCGATGAGCCCGCGACTGCAGCATTGCTGATCTGAGTTATCACGGCCATTCGCTCGTTAGTAGTCTCCATGTTACTCGTAGATTCTGCATATTTAACTTGCATCGACGCTCCCATGATTGTATCGTTCAATGTTTTTGGTTGGTATGCTTCTTTCTGTTGATTCGAAAAAAATTTATGTTTCAAAGCTTCGGCTCAAGACTGGAAAATGAAAGTTCATCTTAACTGACTAACCTTGGGAGATAATTCAATGACCTCGCAATCGGATAAGGATTGCACTGTTGGACGAACCTTCAATATTTGAACTTCTCTGGGTGTAACGTCTACGTGTGACAAAGTCGGCTGACTCAATGCTTTGAAAAGTTCTGGTGATTTGCTCGAGACTTCGATAGGAAGCTTTTCAAGGGCTATCAAGGCTGTTGTTGATCTCTCTAATTCCGTCAGATCATGTTCGATTCGCACTTTTTTCATCGGAATGTCCATTGACTCGTTTTTCCGCTTGCCTCGACCTATTGAGAGATATTTTTTTTGTTGTCTTATGTTACTTTAAAATATAACCACATAATGTGTAAAATACTCCGGAAGCAAGAAAATTTCAGACAAATATTTATGACACTGTAAATCTTACAACTTTTAAACATGAATACCAAAAACCCCGTGCATTCGTTTCAATAAAAAAATAAAATTCACCTCGTCCTCTGCCTCTCTTGGGTGGTGCGTAGCTCTTCTGACTTCTACATGTTCTCCTGGGCCTTCCAGCTTCGGTTCCCGCGTGACCACCAGGTACCATTTGCGGTTGCATGTGTAGAGGTTGGTGAATTTGTTGGTGCATTTGCTGCAGTTGCATTGGCAAATGCTGCTTCAGCATCATCATAGACGGCGATTGATCGAGGCTCAGCGGATCTCTCGGAAATTCGAACTGTTGGAACGAGGAGGTCATGACCGGAATCGTTCCGATGGGTCCGACAGCATTACGCCGAGGTCGACCGCGCTTTTTCGGCACCTTTATCGCTGACTTCATTGACGGCACTTCGTCAATGATCATTATGTCCTGACTGGAATTCGAATTCTCGTTGACGATTATGAGCTCAGGCTGAGGGTCTATGATCTCGCAGTCAGAATTTGATTTCGATGACGTCATTGCCGCTTCTTGCAAATTCTTAATTTGATCGTTTACTCGAGGATCGGTTGATGATAACGAACATACCTGCGTAATTTATGAGTTTTACAAATTGCAACGCATGCAGATTCAAGTATTAAAAGTTGACTTGCAAGAATAACGTTGACAAACCTGGGTAATGCTTATTTCTTGATTTATAACCTTCATCTGTTGTCGACTAATGTTTCCAGTCTTTGGGTCCAGCAATAGTTTCTGTTGCTCTCTCTTTGCTGCACTGACTGGTTGAATCGTGATGTCTGGAAACATTTGCTTCAGATTTGCTTCCATTTTCGCCTTTTTCGACTCAACGGGAGCGATTGAGATTTCTTTTCGTTTATTGTGCACGTCACCCAGTGTATTATCGAACAACGGTCGAGTTACCGGCTCGATTGTAACATCCGAGTGACTTCTTTTCAATTCTTTTAAGGTCGACTCTTTGAACATCAAGAGATCCTTGTGATCTTTGTGTTTGAGAGACTGAGCTATCGTGGAGGCAATTTTTGACGTTTCATCCAGAGTCTCATTGTTCGCTATGATCGTTGGATGACCAGTTTTTGAAAGTTTGATTTTCATTTCTAGGTGCGAGTCGTCTTTGGGTTTTTGCTGAAGCGCAATGCTAGAATACACAAAAACAAGTACGACGAGCTCAAAATATGGATTAATTCAAGCGCTGTAACATAAACATTTACGGGGTACAAACCTATAATCCTTATTTTTAGCGTGCTTCACACCCTCTGGCTGGATGATGGAAGGTTCGCCTGTTTTCGACAACTTGATCTTCATCATACCGAGAGGTTGTTCGGCGGCTTTCTTCGCCCCCTCGTCGTCTTTTTTCACATGCGTAACCGAGGCATCGACAGACTTACCTAGTTTTAGCTTCATACTTTTGAGCTTCAGGGTCTCCTCACTGGCCTCCAATACCAACGCTGCATCGGCGTCTTTTGGGATTTTAGTTTTGACCGCTTCATCCGGCTCTGCTCTATCGCTTTCGCTCGATATAATAGAAGCATCCCCAGATTTCGATAGTTTGATTTTCATGCCAAGTGGTGATTCAGTGCGCTTTGTGATCTCCTGAATATCCTCTACAGCTTTCACTTTTGCGTCCTTCAGATCCTCGGACAATGATTTATTACTATCTTGAATGATGGAGGCATCTCCAGACTTGGACAATTTAATTTTCATACCAAGGGAATCTTGTTTTTTAGGAATCAGAGCCTCCTGAAATCACACAACGTTATATCAACATTCACTCTTTATTCAAGTAATTTTAACGTAGCCTTAAATGGCTTTAAAACCTACTAAGCGCGGCTAATGTCAAAATAAATTATTTATATGACTAATATCGAGAAAAAGTAAACAAGCTGAGAGAAAGAGAGAAGCTTTCACTTCGGCGGCCGTGTGCGGACTGAATATGTTGCGCAGAACACTTCATGGAGATTCACGGAGCAGAAAATCATTAGAAATTTTGGAAACATTTGAAAGAGATGGAGTAAGATTGTATTTGTTTTTATTTTTAGTACGAATTTATAGCTGTCCAAAGTAAACAGAAGCGAGAGGTAGAAATAAATATCAATTATATTGCTATTGATTTTGCGTAGCATCAAGAAAAACTCTGTTTATTTCAGTCTACAAGAAACAAAATGTTTATCTAAACTGGATAATATCAAATATACATTACCAGAGCAGTAGTCTCCTTGGCATCCTTGTGCTTTTGCTTGTGCACGCCCAGTTTATCCTTATCCTTGGCTTCATCCTCATCTCTATCAGCCTCGGACGTCTTGGCTAGTTTAAGCTTCATACCGCCGTGGGCCGACAGCATCGAATTACTCTCCGTGTGCCACTGGACCGTCTCGTCGTAGCCACTGTCACTACTCGATATGATCGATGGATGGCCACCCTTGGACAATTTAAGCTTGATTTTGCCAAGCTTGTGGCTCGGGCTGTCCTCGGGGTTGGGCGAGTTGGCAGCTGATCGGATCTTTGGGCTCTTTGGCGAGCGGGGCTCCGAGCAGTCAGCTATTGCCGACTTGGCGATCTTCAGAATGATACGCGGCGAGCCGACGTTCTCACATTCAGAGTATTGCTGGTGCTGTTGTGACTGCGAATGTGAAGGTTGCTGGTGTTTTTCTGTATGATCCTTGCGAGGAGTGTCAGAAATCTTGGCCTCGTTCGTAATTTGTTTCTCGGGTGACTCAAAGCGCTCGTAGGAGGCCTCTTTCGCCACGGGCACGCTGGTCTTCAGGGCGTCACTGGGCAAGTCGATGATTTGCGAGGAGGTCTCGGGGATATCGATCCTTGGAGGTTCCTTGTAACGATCCTCCAATACCGAGGATCTTGGTAAGGGCTTCGACGTAAGCTTGATTTCCGGCATCAAGGGAATCTAGAAAAAAAAAAAAAAAAAAAAAAAGTTAATATGATTAGTTCTCAAACAATACTCCAAGAAAACACATTTGATCCCTTTAAAGTGAATGGTATTCTGTGGCGGATGAGTTAATGTTAAAAATTACCTGCAAATTTTCCTTTGCTTCGGTATCTACCTTGGTATTGGATGGTTGATTAAGGTCTTTAGCATTAATCAAATTATCAGACACACCGAAGTCACTTGCTTGCATCGATTCTTCTACTTCTGTATTTTTAAGCTGCTGCTGCTGCAGTTCTAATCTTTTTTTCTTTTCACTTTCCAATTTGGCAGCTTCAGATATGATTTCAGCTTCAGATATGGCTATTGGATCTAAATTTATTTCAGATGCCAAGTCTGAAGCATTATCACATAATGTGTTATCATCAACTGAAATAAATTCACTAGAATTTCCCTCGCCAGTCGTTTTTTGTTCCATCTTGGTGTTTTCGATGTTTTCTTCGGATTCTTGTAGAAATTTGACAGCTGTTTCAGACTCAGAGGTCTCAATCATAGTTTCAACTGTTTCTTGGTTTTCTCCTCCATCATTTTCAAGTGCTTCTGTTTCTTCAAAATTTTCCTCACTTTCTAATGTTGAATCTCTTATTTCTGATTCTTTTTCAAAACTGATTTCACTACTTTTTTCATCAATTACACTATCAGAGACACTATCTCCTTCTTTTTCAGCATTTCTCTGATAATTCATGTTAGTAATAATTTCTGGCTCTATCAACTGACTAAAATCTTCCATTTGATCCAAATTTTCATCTGTTTGGAAATCTTCATACATAATATCCGTTTCTGATTCATCTTCATTTTTTTCAGTGTCTAAGATTTCTTGAGCATTAATTTCAGTTTCAGAACTGTAAGCCTCTAAAGAAGATGTTTCTATTTTTCTCGCTTGTTCCAGTTTACTTTCGACAGTGTCATCTAGTAATACTTCGTTTTCTTGTTTTCTTTTATTTATACCTTCAGAAACTGTATCATTCCTGTCATATTCAATAGTTTCTTCGTACGTTTCATCTATACCTTCCGGTATTTCAGAAACTAATTCACTTACTTGTGAACTTTCACTACCAGGAATATTTTCACTATGAATTTCTAAATTTTCAATGCTCTCCAATTCATTTTCGCTATTCTCTTTTTTTTCGCAAATGTTTTGAGACTGATTATTTTGAATACCATCTGTCGATTCTTTTAGATTTTCTCCATTTTCAGCTTCTTCTCCTTCTTCTTCTTCTTGATCAAATGCCAATTCAAAATCAGTGGCAACAGAAGGGGATTTGCTGTCTGGAAAATTGTCATCACTTACACCGTCAACAGTGTTTATCACATATTCTGAAACTTTTAAAGGCTCAATATTACTGGATTCTTGTGCATTTTCTTTATCGATACATTTTGCTGTAGAATTTTGAGTATCAACAATCAGTTCTTTTTCAACAATACTTTCAGCAAATGGCTCGATATTTACATCACCTGAATTCCCAGAATCTATTGTAAAGACACTAGTGGATTCTGACATTGGTTTTTCTCTAGATTCAGTAAATTGCTCAACAGCTGTAATTAGATCACCCTTGGTCTCAGTAACACTTTCGTTAGTACTCTTATCGTTATTTACACTTTCTACAACAGAATCTTTTGTCTCTTTCAACAATTGACTAGATTCCTTTGTATCTATATTACTTTCTTTAATATTGTGTTCTTTCTCTGTTTCTTTTTCACTGCCAAATAACTGCTCTGGTGAATTAGCTTCTTCTTGAAGAATTTCAGTATTATCAGAATCGATATTCCGTTCATGAGGCTCAGAATGAGTACATGCTAATGAAGACTGAGAATTTTCAACTCTTTGATTATCTTGGGAATCAATTTTTTTGGGTGATCCGCATTCCTCGAGATCTTTGGCATCCTCACTAGTTCTTACATTCTCAGTCACACGAGTCATAGAATTTTTTTCTTTACTGTCAACTATTGGGTTAGCATTAACATTTTCTGAAAGCTTAGTATGTTCAACTACACTTGTTTCAGATTCTAATTCTGATTTTAAATTCTTAGCTGTATCATCATCTATCGCTTTAGATTCAACCTCATCTTCAAGATCTTTTTGGGACTGAAGATTGTGTAACTTCTCTACCTCAGAATTACAATTTTTTTCGGTTGTTTCATCTGTTTTTTTAGGATTCAAATTAGGAACTGATGCTTCGGAACAAACACTACTTATATTAGTGTCTTTTGAACGTTGATTTGTATTTTCAGAATTTTCAGTGCCTATCACAGGTGTTAAACGGCCAGCATCATTTCGTTGGATCTCATGTACAGATTCATCTTCAATATTCAACTGTACTCCACTTTCACTTGGATTTTCAATACTGACACTAATACTTTCGGTATTTTCCAATACCTCAGCAACTTTGACTTCTTTGTTTTTTTTTTGGGATTCTGATTGAATATTTTCCACTACCGTTGCAGAAGGACGGTCCAAGCAACTTTGAGATTCTTGTGACGTGTAAGCATCACTTATCAGTGATAAACTATTATTTGCATTTAATGTTTCCTCATTGATTGCAGGCTCACCCTGACTATTCTCACTCAAAGTATCGTCGAGCTCCACTGTCTTGGCGTCTGTTTCTAGTTGCTGCACCTTCGTCTCGTTCATTTCACCAGTTTGCAGCTCGGTTTCATTTACATTTGAAACTTCTGAAATAGATAAATTTATTATCAAACGACTGCAACTAACTTCTCATTCACGTAATATTTATGTAACACTTAGTATTCTAAGTAGACCAGTTATTTCTGATAGATCTAGTCGGATAACATACTTAAATATTTGTCAGCAAAGTACAAACCTTGCCAAATATAATTGAAAAGAAAAAAGGCAAAAAATTTAAACAAGTGACCAACTCACCCCCTGGCGCGTCTCTTAAGCTGTTGTCGGTAGCAGACATGAAGCTGTCCATCTCCCCGGAGCTGTCCAAAATATCCTTGATACCAAGCTCGTCGTCCTGAAGTCCAGTGTCGGAAAAATCATAGGAGTCCAGCTTGAAATCTTGGTCGCTTCCAACCAACCTGGAGGGAACGTCTTTAGTGTCGGTGATCATCTTGGAGAGTGCGTCGATCTCGCTCTCGAGGGTAGACTCCTCGACTATACCTTTGTCCTCCATCATGTCTTCGTAAATTGTTCCAGGAGAAGAGAGACACCACCTCCCTTCGTTTGATGGTAACGAAGCAGCTAGTGGGTCAGTCTGCGTCTCGATGGCTCAGAGTTTCACGCACTCACGCCGCGATACGCTTGCACTTCGCCTTGCGCCGGGATTTACTACGCGTGTCGGGGATGTCAGCTTATTTTTTTGAACACCATTTTTTTATTGTACATTAAAAACATGTCAAGGTCACTGCCAGAATCGTCCTACTGTATAGAACAGCAACATAACCCCCTTGTCTTGTTCTGTTTATGGTTTGTTCAATACATCCAGTAATTCATAATTGTGTGCGCGCAGTGCACACACATGACACACATATCCGCACTTCTATGGTAAGGAAGATCGCCGTAATTTTTAAGTTTATTGGAGGCATTTTTTAAAAATTTACTTTTCCCGGAAATATATGGGGATAGCTTACACATGGTGTACTTTTGCGTGTTATATGAATAAGAAAATATTTTTACAAAAACATCACTTTTATTCAAATATAATCATATACATGTATATATGTACACGTGTGGTTTGAAACCCTTTGAACAATAATCAAACTATACTCACATGATTTAGATATCAATAATATATGATCGAACAGTACTTACGTATTTTTTATTTTTATAAGAAAAGAAAATTATGTTTTATTAAAAAAATTAAGCCATGATGAAAATTAAATACTATGATTAGTGGAGCGTACGGATATCTTTTGAAATATTATTCCATCAAATTTATATAAACTTTTGCTCTCTTGCGATGATGAAAGACTCGATTGAGTATAGAAAATACGTCAACGTTTATGAAATAAATAAATAAATACTGGATAATATCAATCTTTGAGTCTCCTTCCCTTTCCTTTCTGGAATACTTGAGCCATCTCTGACAATTCATCAGCAATATATTGTGGAAGATTGAAAATTTGCAAATTATGAAGAATACTTCTTCTAAAGCAGTTCCTTAAGGTTTCCACACTTCTGTGTTCTAAATACTACAAAATAATAAAAACACTTAAAGTAAACCGATTTAAAAAAAAAATTTGAAATACCTAGGTTTTTATACTTACCCCCTCGTGACGCATTAGCTCATACACTCTTTGACCTTTGGCATCCTTTATTTTGTTATTCTTAATCAAGTATTTAAGTAAGATCTTTTTCTCGTCCATAGACAGGTGTTTTCTAAAATCATAAGAGAATAGACGTATATTAGATACTAAAAATCTATTATTTCATAAATGTACGTGCATAATTTGTATGTAACAATGTATTTTAAAAAATATTTACGAGACTTTTAGATGTCTTTTATGAACATTAGGTTCAAAAGTACAACCTGTTACTGTGCAAGATTCATTTATCGGTATATAGCGATCAACCCACCATTCATCATTCAATCTGTAATATTAATTTTATTTTAATTATGTAGTATTGGGAAAAGTAACGTTAATATGTTATATTTTTACTTATTGTCTTCATCGCTATCTGAGAAGATGTTAGGACTAGATTGTTCACTTTTTACATCCATTTCAATAGNTATCTGTAGTGGAGGTTATGTTTTGAAAACGCTGTGTCTATTCGCACCAAATCCAGAGAATATAGAATATATCTCTTTAAGTATAGAAGGCCAGGCATTCAATCTGTAATATTAATTTTATTTTAATTATGTAGTATTGGGAAAAGTAACGTTAATATGTTATATTTTTACTTATTGTCTTCATCGCTATCTGAGAAGATGTTAGGACTAGATTGTTCACTTTTTACATCCATTTCAATAGCATTTTTAGGATCTTTTTTTGATTTAATCCATGAGGTAACTGTAATTTGCGAATGTTTAGATTTAACAGTATTGCTGTTATTAGAGTTCACAGAATTACTTTTTATTTTATACCCACTTGTTTCTTTTTTAGAAGCTTTCATATTTTCTCCATCACTTGTTTCTTCCTCAGAGGAGTACAAGATTGATAATCTTTTAAAACCAGGAATATTTTCGTTTTTTGATGTGCTTGGTTTTTCTCTATGTAGTACTGCATCTACTTCTTCACTAGTTGCTGATGTACTTGGTTTTTCTCTAATCAATGATTTACCCAATGTTTCTCTAGTCGATGATGTACTTGATTTTTCTCTTCTTAATTCTAAACCTCCTTTTTCTCTATTTAATACTGGGCTTAATTTTTCCTTCTTTACAGCTGCACCTGGCTCGTTTCTACTTAATGATGTGCTTGATTTTTCTCTTCTAGATTCTAAACCTTCTTTTTCTCTATTTAATACTGGGCTCAATTTTTCCTTCTTTACAGCTGCACCTGGCTCGTTTCTACTTAATGATATGCTTGATTTTTCTCTTCTTGATTCTAAACCTTCTTTTTCTCTATTTAATACTGGGCTCAATTTTTCCTTCTTTACAGCTGAACCTAGATCTTCTCTACTCAATGATGTGCTTGGTTTTTCTCTAATCAGTGATTTACCTAATGTTTCTCTAGTCGATGACGTACTTGATTTTTCTCTTCTTGATTCTAAACCTCCTTTTTCTCTGTTTAATACTGGACTCAATTTTTCTTTCTTTACAGCTGTACCTAGGTCTTCTCTATTTGATGGTGTACTTGATTTTTCTCTTCTTGATTCTAAACCTCCTTTTTCTCTATTTAATACTGGGCTCAATTTTTCCTTCTTTACAGCTGCACCTAGCTCTTCTCTACTTAATGATGTGCTTGATTTTTTTTTATGTAATGCTGTACTTTCTTCTTCTCTAGTTGCCGACGTAATTGTTTTTTCTCCATTCAATAATTTACCAATTTTTTCTCCACTCGATGTTGTACTTGATTTTTCTCTTCTTAATTCTGTACCTAGTTTTTCTCTATGTAGTAGTGATGGGCTCAATTTTTCTTTCTTGACAGCTGTATCTAGTTCTTCCACACGTAGTAATCTGCTTGGTTTTTCTCTATTTAATATTTCCAGTTTTTCTTCACTCGATGTTGTACTTGATTTTTCTCTTCTTAATTCTGTACCTAGTTTTTCTCTATGTAGCAGTGATGGGCTCAATTTTTCTCTTCTTGCAGCTGTACCTAGTCCTTCTCTGCTTAGTGATGTGTTTGATTTTTCTCTATTAAATGCTTGAAATATTTTTTCTCTACTTGATGATATGCGTGCTTTTTCTCTATTCAATGTTGTACTCAATTCTTCTTCACTCGATGATGAGATTAGTGTTTCTCTACTAAACACTCTACTTAATTTTTTTTTACTTGTGATTGTGCTTACTTCCTCTCTCTTTAATTTTGATGTACTGCATTTTTTTCTACTTGATGAGTTTATTCGTTCTTCTTTATTTAACGGTGTACTCGATTTTGTATCGCTTGATTCAATTATTTCGAGGGAAGACTTCAAACTTTCAGGCTCATCATTTACTTCCAATTCTTTATCAGTGTTTTCTTTACACCTATTGTGATTAGTAACGAGCGAGTCATTTGTTTCGGGACTCGATGTCAGAATAATCTCAACACTCTCATGCTTGACTTTTTTTTTCAACCTTTTTGGGGTATTACCTTCTTCATCAGATGATAACAAAACACCGACAGCTTCTCTATCATTGGTATTTGATTGTATATCAAGGGCTCTGTCTGGAGGCGAAATGGAACGCTCTCGTTTGTGAGAGATTTTGTTTGAAATGTTACTATGACTTTCACTGGCACTTTTGGAACTATCGTGCCGCTTAGGTAAATTTTGACGTTTGAATACTGGATTGGGGAGTATAACGTCTGAGACGTCGGAATAATCATCGGAATCTTGATCAACTTTCTTATCTTTGATGTGTACATGTTCAGCAGTTTTTCCATTATAAATGCAGTTTTCTTTATTTCTTATAGATTTGTTGACGTATCTGCAACAATTTATCCTTATTCAAATAAGAGACAAAAATTATTTCAAACTTCAAATTCAATGAAACCGACAAATTAAATTAAAGACTGTAAATACCTATACTTTTCAATATCAGAAACTTTTTGGTTGATTATTGCATCTGTAACAAATCTTATGGAGTACAAGTCCGTTCTCGATTTATTGTCTGGCTGGGAAAAATAATCATCATCGCACAAAACATACTGCTTATTTTGACAGACTGTTCCTCCCAGCGCCTGAAAAACAGACATATCAAAATTGTTTATAAATCAAAGTATGAAAAAACTGGTCAACAGATATTCCCCTAGTAAATGGTAATTACTTTTTTTAAAACTAAGGGCCATCAGGGGAGAAAAGGGATACAAGATACAATGCATAGTAAGAAATCTACTAATGTAAAATTTCGTAACTTTGGTTTCCTTGGCAAAATAAAAAAAATAAAAAAAATAAAAATATGCAGTAATAACACACATTTTCTGATGTCTTGAAAAGTAATTGTCGGAAAAAAGTTCCTGGTAAAACTAATTGACATCAAAATATAATCCCGGTGTACATTTCTCTACTGAATTAAATTGAATTTATATCAAATCACTTTCTTATTTAATATCGATTTATTATATCATACCTGTAACAAAGTCGATTGGACTTTATTTTTTTTAATCAAGATTATATTGGAATATTTACTATTTATCGTGTTCTTTCGTATACCACTGACAGCATTTAAAAATTAATAAGCAGCTTTGTAGACTTTAAGTCTAGAATATATATGAAATTAATTACCTTGACGTAATGTGAGAAATTATTTTCCACATTCTTGCTTAAGCCTTCAAATTTGAAATTAAACTCGCTGAATAAGTCACGATTATTTTTCAAAAATGCTGTAGGTCTCGGTTTTCTTTTATTTGACTCCATTTTTTTTTTTTTTTTCAGCCCAACACTCTCGCAGAATTTTTTTACAAATCCATACGTGTTTTTATAAGCACGTAGCGATGAACTAAGCCACTTTTATGAACAAAGCAGTCGTGGCTTTCCTTTTAGACTCATGATGAAGTTCATTCCAACAACTTGCAGATGAACACATGTACAACCTTCGAAATTTCCCGTGTTGAAACAGGTTTTAACACGCAGAGTAACCCAATAACCAAATTATTTTTACAGGTTAACCTGCGTTAAAGTATAGGATACACGTAGAATATCGCACAGCGATCACATGGTTTTTTTTTTTGAGTTAAGAACTGAGTTAACTAAGACGTAATACAAACAGAGAATCAACTCGTTCTTCTTCTTTCAGCCCAATTTAGTTATTTTGGGTATTTACCCATATACACTCTCTTTTCAACACAACCGATTTGGTTCAAATTCAATATAAAACACAAAATCTGACACTCAGCAACGGGACTGACCGGCAAGATACAGATTTATGACGAATTACTGTCCCGAGACGGTGAGCCGACGAGGTACACAGTTACACACTCTGTCATACACACGCACACACTGACATATATGGTGCTCTTACTACAAATATACACTAAGCAAGAATGTTTAATTTTTCAGTATGAATGTAAAAAACCAATTCAAGAAATTACTCCCAGATCATAAATACGAAAGTTTTATAAGTTATTGAAAAAACAAATATTAGTATTTATGTAATAATAACGATTTATTTTATAGAATATTGTAACTCAATATTTATAAATTTACAAGAATCGAATTTTATACACAATCATAACATAATTATATTGATAATTGATGTTAGTAGTTCAATGCACCACTATTTGATGGGTTTATTCATATTTTTCGTGTTTCTCTTGATGGAATTAATCAACGTGTTGATTTCCGTATTAACTTTTTGTTTTTTCTGTGGCGCAGCTTGCGTTTCATCAAAAGTGTTTTTTTCATCCGTCTAAAAATATGTTATCCGTCAATATGCTTTCAAAAAAAAAAAAAAAAAAAAAAAAGGTGAACGAATACTTACCGCATCAGTTTCGTTTCTTCTCTTGAGTTTCTCTTTAACTAAATCTTCTGTGCCTTTAGTTTTGCGATACCGTGGATCAGTTGGATCGATGTTGAACAAGTGAGATGTAAAGAGCTTTTGGAATCTTGGGTCGTCAACATTAACTTTGAACTCATCTTTGATTGCTTCTTCCTTAAGATCCTTTTTTCTTTTATTGAGACGCTTCTTTTTAGACTTAGTCAATGTTTCAGCCTCTTCGATTCTCTTCATGTCAAAGTGACATTTTTTACCTCCCTCGTTTTCATCCATAAGCAGCAGCTCCAATTCTGCTGCCTTTCTTTTATTTTCTTCTTCATCTACAGAATCAGCATCGCTATCGTTAGTCCGGCTTTTGCTCTTTTTCGTTTTTTGCTTTGGCATGTTTTTCATTTCTTCCGCAAAGTACGGGTCATTCATATCAATATCAGATGGAATCGAATCTTCGCTATCGGATGCTTCTTTGTTGTCACCTCTTGCTAACTTTTTCTTTTCTTCTCTTTTGGCTTTAATCTTTTCTTTCCTTTTCTGCAAATACTTTTCAAACGGAGCAAGACTCTCTTGCTGCTTTATTTTTTCTTTTTCCTTTAATAATTGCTCAGTTTTTTCTTTAATCCCTAGGCCCCAAGTGACTTCAAGCTCCACGTCCTTGTCTTTTTTCTTTTCCTCTGCTTCTTCTATCGATTTAACCAACGATTTATACATTTCAAGCCTGTCTTTTTTATTACTTGTCTCATCAACTTTGTCCAATTGCTTTTTCACCTCGTCTTCAGATTCTTCGTCACTTGTCCCACTAGCCAAGTAAGCTTGAAGATCATTTTTGTCTATTTCATCAAGATTCGCGGATTTTAATTTTTGGGCGAATTCCTGCCTTTCTGGATTTGTTTCATCCCAAGTCAAGTTTACCTTAACTTGTTGCAATGCAGTAGTGGTGAACAGCCTAGGCATGTATTTCGTCAGATCTGGCAATTTGTCGCAAACTTCTGTGGGTTCTTGATCAAAAGTTTCTTCATCGGGAATGAACCTCAAGTCAAGCTTGGTGGCGGAAGATTCGTATTCTTGACCATCCAATTCTTCGTAAATTTTGTTAGCAGTAGCAGGTGAGTCAAAAACTATAACTGCATAATAATACTTTAAACGATTGAGCTGATATTTTCTCAATTTTTCTCTCTGGTACTGTGAACCCTCTTCTTTTTCCCCGTCACTGTTTATATCTTTTTCTTCTTCTTCCTCATCATAACTGCTGTCTTCAGATTCCACCAACTCGGCAGGGCCTTTGAGTTCCTCTTCTTTCATACGCTTAAGTCCAAATTCGGATGGATATATCGTTACGTTCTTAATGTAACCAGTAGGAGGTACAAAGGAATGAAAAAGAACCATAATATCCACAGCTTTTATTCTGTCCCAGTCCATATTACATGCGGCTAATCTATAAGTGGGTTCTGGAATCGATTCAGCATCTTTATCCAGTTCACCCCAGTCATGTTCGATTTCTTCTTCCTCTTCTTCTTCAGAACTTTCATCATCCGATGAGCTCTCAGAAAATAAAACTCCTTCGCCTCTGGCGTAGTCAACATTCAAATCATTCAATTTCTGCTTTATAGATTCATCCAATTTTTTATTACTCTTTTTCTCAAGTTTCGAGTTTAGTTCATTGTTAGCCAACTTGCTATCTTCATCTTCATCTTCAGTTGAAACCTTTTTGTCTTCTGCATCGGAATCTCCATGGATTTCTGCATCAGAATCCTTACTTGGTTTCACAAGGAGTAGTTTGCCGTTACTTGAAAAATTTGCTTCATCCTCATCTTTGCTCTCTTCACATGTTTCATCAGCTGAATTTTCCTCGGTCTCAGCTTTTGTAACTTTAGATTCATCAGAACAAGTATTTTTATCTGTGGACTTTTTCGCTTTTGATTTGCTATGTTTGGTCTGTTGGGAAGAATCATCAGAATCTTCTTCGGTGCTCGAATAGTCATAAAACTTTCTGAAATTTTCTTGGGAAGACTGATTAATGGGCCTGCCTCGTTTGTCCACGGTGTATCTGATGTTGAATTTTTTGTCCTTGAACATGGCCCGGAAACGTTTGTCTACTTTGATTTTAACTTCTTTTTTGGGTATCCTACGGAATCGGGGATCATTGGGTATGTGCGCGAAGCGCTCGTCTTTAAGTATATCGTCCATTTTTGTTTACAAAAGTATCTGCAATAATTTTAAAAATTTTAGTAATAATCTTGGATTAGAAAAAAAAAACAAAGCTTACATTTTTTTTAAACAAACAAATATCTGTAGTGGAGGTTATGTTTTGAAAACGCTGTGTCTATTCGCACCAAATCCAGAGAATATAGAATATATCTCTTTAAGTATAGAAGGCCAGGGCAGGCCTTTTCTTATGTTTCCAACTTTTGAGGCACATAAATTTAGTTAAGTTAGGTACCCCATAAGGCAGGTGGCGTTAGCGTTGGAGGTAGTGTACCGAAGCAGAAACTGTCGTTACCATGTGGGTCGGTGCTGTAGGAAACAGTTACCATGTGTTACAGATCAGCTGAATCTATTACCACATGCATCGATGTAGTGGGTAAACCAACTAAAATGTCAAAAAAAGCCTAGCTCCTTTTGAACGTCTTCAATTTTTTATTACCACACTTGATTTGCCTAAATAATAATTATGATCATTCTACGTATGGATGCAAAATGTTACGTATTATATTTATGTGCATGTAAATTACAGTATGATATATAATGTATAGCGTTGCAGATCAAAACTGGTGTAAATTCGATCCCCATAAAAAAACTAACTTTGTTTTTAAGTAAAATGTTAGGCGAGTTTGATGTGTTTCGTACATATCGAAAAAAGAATCATGACTCCAACAATAACGTGATATAGTGGTATGTAATACAGAATTTATTTTAATAGCAAACTATAATAATACCAAGTGCCTCTTTCAATACAAAACGGAAGATTGGAAAAGTAACGAGATCAACAAAAAATAGTTACATTGTTTGATACATCAAAAAGTTATTAAAAAGAAACATTTTGATAATAAATAAATATCTTAATTAAATATCTGAGTAAATAAAAAATTTACAAAATGAAATTAAAGATTTACAAAGTAATAAGATCAAGATAAAATAGTCAAGTTATAAAACATCATTCTAAACCTGTATAATTTTAATAACAGAAACTATGATAATACTAAGTACCTTGTTAAACATGTATAATATTTCTTATGTTACTTATACAAAAGTATTAAACGAAATGAAAGATTTTAAAAATAATGAGATCATCAAAAAATAGTCCAATTTGTTGCTACATGAAAGATTTATTATTTACAAAAAATAATGAAATAATAACATATCTTTGTAAAATATCTAAGTAAACAAAAAATTTCGCCAAAAATGAAAGATTTACAAAGTAATGAGATCAACAAAAAATAGTCAATTTTTTAAAGATCAACCTGAATCTATATTACAATTGTTTAAAATTGTTGAAATACTTAAATAAGGAAAATATTTTATTACAGAGCCAAACATGTCAATATTTTGCAAAATTCTTAAACCTGTATAACTTGCCGGGCTGGCTTTATACTGTTTTTTGGCGAACAATTACAAGTAAATTTGGAAAAGGAATATATATTATAATTGTTTACGTGAAATTAATCAGAAACCGATTTGCGTGCTTATTCATTCCCTTAGCTTTTTTAGTACAAATAATTTCTACAGCCTTCAAATATTTTTATGTCTGTCCGAAGACTTTATGCTTTATTATTTATTTTTTTCCGAAACAAATATTTCAAGTATTACAGCTTCCACAATCCACCAATTTATGAACTTCTTCAGAAAGTAAACGGGAATTTTTACAATTTGTATTATACGTCCAAAACAGTATAAAGCGTACGTGAGCTTACAAGCACGTAAGCTTACAGGTACGTATACTTACGGGCACGTAAAAACTGAAAACATCTAATTCGCTTTAATTTGAACGTAAGCTTGCAGGTACGTA